ATATATTGTTATTAACAAAAAATCTCATTAAATTTTTTTATAAATCTCACTAACACAATCTATTGTTATAAAAAAATCTTTTATTAATTTATTAGTATACTTTCAAAAATAAACTCACTCACTATATCCAAAAGTACACTAGTTGATGATAATTATTAGTATTAATTTTTGTAACTTCAAGAAATTCTTCCATATTGATGATATCGTCATTAAATTTAAACGTAATAAATGATTCCGTAATTCCAAATATTATATTTGTTGTTAAGCAATATCTACATCCAATGTAAATTATAAGACAGTATTGACACCATTTTTGACAATCAGAAATAAATCCTAGGTGTTTATCACAAACTCTACATTGACCACAAGTATCCCACCAAGGTAAACAAAGAATTGAAATGGTTTTATTAGTTAAAGTTGATTTAATCCATCCAGAGAATAATCGATCATCTAAACTCGAATAAACGGGAAACCCTAGTTGGTAAATTAGTTTTTCACATAATAATTTACAGTATTTATATTCAAAATCCGACCAAGAAATTTTATAAGAAAAAAGTTTTATAATGAAGAAAGACTATCTTCATGAAAACAGGATTACAACTATATGAAGCAAATGGACGAGTATCCGTACTTATATCTATTATATCTATCGTAATTTTAATATGTATAAACAAGCAAGTATCGCAATATTTTTGACCATCTATCATCGTAAGTCTATTTTTACAGTCTTCCCTATCATCGAAAGGAAAAAATAAAATAGGTACAGGACAAGATTTTGAATTTAGACTAACGCTCATTGACTCCATGAAATAAAGTTATTAATGAATTTGAAACTGTAAAATTATAAATTTATATATAATTATTCGGTGTTACACTTATTTCGGTATATTTCTTTTTTTTCTATAGAATGTTTCATCTAAATTTTAGAAATTTCTGATACACAAGCAGTGCATTTACCTTAATTTGGTAATTTTGAATAAATTTTAGAAGGTTCCCTACCGATGATAAATTTGCGTCATCATATATTGGTTTCGCAAGTTTGATCAACGCATACTTACCATACATTTAAGGTTATGATGTTATACAAATTGGTGATATTCAAAAATTTTCTTGTATGATTAGTTAAAATTTTTTCTTTAGCGACGCGCCTTTGAAAACGCTATATTAAACAATTACAAGAATTATACCGATCACAAAGTTAATATTTTTTATTAAAATATAAATTTATATGCTGGTAAATAATTTGTTTTAAAAGGTATAAACAAAAAAAAAAAAAAATATTAAAAAAATATTAAAATTATTCATTCTTATCAATCACAAATATTTTGCGGCATATCTAATTTTAAATAGTGAATATTTTTGGAATGTCAGTTTCTTCTAACTTTCTCTACTAATTTTGTAAGTTCACATCACATGTTCTGCCTGCTATATCTATTGCTCTTATCTAAATTTCCTCCTAATTACTTTGCAAAAATAATTCCCCGAAAAGTATTAGTAGAATTCACTGGTTTGGAGATGGATCACGAATTAATTATTATAATTAATATAAAAATGAATAAATATATAGATACACGGATATACTGAACTAATGCTATTAAGGTTTCAATCTATTTTAATTCTTAATATTCTACTTCTATTTTAAATTTTGCATCCTATACTAAGTTATGATCAACTTATAAGAATTTAAATAGAAGGTTTCAAAAAAATTTCACAATTATCTTTTGACTGAATGAACTATAAAGAAAAAAAATTATCATTAAAATATTTATTTAATAGTATCAATAATATAAAGTAACATTTTTATGTTATGAGATTTTTAGAATTAATAGTTACTCGTCACGTTATAGGTATTTTTTATACAACTTAGTGGTAAATCAACCAATTAGTAAATGTCTGATAAAAATTATTATTATTATTTTTCATTTTTTTTTGATAATATAATATTAATTTTTCTTCTTTCTTTTATTTTTTATATGAAATATTATTCAATTAATAGTGATCGTAATGGTCGTGATTATAATTTATAAAATTTATGGTATATCTCAAAATCCAGATACAGTACTAACACTGAACATATAAAGTGTAAAATAACGCGAAAATATCTAATTTTACATCAAAATAACATTAAAACAACAGGATTTTATTTGCTATCTAAAAGTTTTGACCGTAACTTTAATCTCCAAGTATTTAAGTATATGTAAATGTATTTTGAACAGAAACTGATTAATTTTCATCCCGCCAAAATGAAATTCTGTGATATGTGAAAATTTTACGACTATTGTTTGTGTTTGTGTGGCATGAAAATCTACAATATAATAAATTTTATAGTTTGCTGGATTAATTAGTCTACCCTAGTGTCATACTAACTTCCATAGTAAACATTTTTTTTTATTAATGGAATTACTTTTATTCCATAAGTAAACTCAATTATCATCATAATTTAAAATAACTTAATTTTATGTGACGTCAGGCAGGTATCAATAAGAGATATGATTGATAGCGTATATTAAATTTATAAACTATTTTTAAACTTTAAAAATTAAAATTAATTTAACTTTAAAACTAATTTAAAAATTTTAAATTTAAATAAAATCATAGTACTTTATTATTATTACTGCCCCGGTCAATCTATATTTTTTTATTCAGTTACCAAAATATGCGTCTTGATCTCTCAAGTTCAATATTTTGTATTATAATGTATTGTAATTAAGAAAATATGATTAACATCATCGTCAAAAGATTAAAAAGTTGAAAATTAAATAAATTTTAATATGAAATAAAAAAATGAAGGTAGCTTGATTTCATAGTTGTTTTGTTTCTTTATTCACAATGAAAGGATGACCTTTATATTCTAGCTAATGGTCATTTTTTTTATCAAAAAAGGTAAAGAACAGGGCGTTTTTTTTTTTTGAGAAAAATAAAAAACTTTTTTATTAGAAAATTAGTAGGAGAATAAGAAAAGTAACATTTTTTTTTGTTCCTTTAATGCTTTCGATGATTCATATTCATACTACATAAAATTCTAATAATTAAAAAATCTACGCTAGTACTGCTTGTTCTGTTATTATGGTTACCACCCCAGTGATCAAGTATAGTTCTTCATTCTCTGTAGTAGAGACTCGGTGCAAATAAATAAATTACGAATTCTATTTAACAAATTTCAAGCTTACAGAGAAAAACACATACCTTGACAGGCTTCTTAAATTTTATTTCATATGTTAGATTGCTTAAAACTTTCCATAGTCTACTATAAATAAATTTTCAGTTCGTCTTGAATCTTGACTTTTTTTTAGGATAAGCTTTATATTCGTGTAAAAAATTCTATTAAACTGTCGTGTTCCAATCATTAGAATTACTACAGTAGGATTGGAATCGATTAATCGAAAATCGACAAAACATAGTAAAATCGATTCTCGAGAATCGATTCTCAGCAATTTTTTACATATAAGTTAACCTAACTCCAAAGTAATTTTTCATGCCGGCCAAGTGCTGATTATTTTTGCTGAAATTAGAACTGATTTAAAGTCCGATTGGTCGTCTATAAGAAAAATCTTGAAAAGGTTCGATTTTCGATTTCAATCCCTATACTACAGTCAGTGATACCAAAAGATATCTGTAAGTTTAATTACGTGCTTTCCAGCTGAGATCTCTCCTTGTGTAGTATCATTGATCATGGGTGGTTCATAACTAATCAAACATTGACGGCTATACCATAAACATAGCTAAGTCAGCATTAAATGATCGTCAGCCTTTTATTTTACTTTTACTGTTAATCAATTCCAGATCTCCAAATTCACGTACTACATTTCTAAGAATTCATTGGTCCTTCCATCCAGCGAAAGAGAATAAATATTTTTTAGCAGTAAAATACAGAAAAAAAATGGCAAAAGCTTTATTTTCCACCTTTCTAAAGTTTTTTATTTAAAAAATTTATTTAAATTTATTAAATATATTTGATTCATCACTATCACTAAGATATATCTTTAAATGTTTTAAATAAAAATTGAAAGTGTCTATTAATATATAATTGGGTAAAAATTAATTTTTTTAAAAAAATTTGGTTGACTTGGTTAGAGACATATGTACTGTTCGAAAATAATCTGAATAAATTTTCTAGTACTTATTAAAAAACGAAGGAATATTAATAATTAAACTCAAAAACCTATTTGGATAATAGTCTTAATAAAATTACTTATCGTTCAGCCCAATAGGATCATGCAGATTTTCATAGTCCGATATTTTTATTAAGCATATGATTATACATATAATTGATATAATAAGTTGATGGTGTAAATGAAAATTTTTATAGAAAAAGTTTAAATAAATTAAAAATAGCATAAAAATGAAATTAATAGAAAGTCAATATAAAGCTTATTTATAACTGATTATAATTAAATGCATGATCCATTGATTGGTAAAAATGGCTACTACGTAGCTCATTTTTATCCAATCATTCAGTCCTGTGACGAGCTAGCTACTCCGTCATCCAATAATATATATAAAGTATTTCTGCTGATCGCAAATTATTAACTAGAGCACATGATGATTTATTGCTTACTAATTAGGATATTGTCCGGTGACTTTGCCGTGCATTGAAGATCACTTTCAAAAAATAAATATAAAATTGGAATAAAAAGCAAATGGGACTCTAACCAACATAATACAGGATGACCGCAGTACACTCACAAATTACTAATATTCCACTTGAACTCTTTATTGAAATTTGCTCTTTTTTACCACCAGTTGATTTATTCACACTTTCTCAAGTGTGTCGTAAATTTCGCGGATATTTATGTGCTCCAAATTCTTTTATTACTCAACAAATATGGAAGGAATCTCGTTTAAATTTTATGCCAAAAGAAGATATGTCTCCACCAGAAGGCATGAGCGAAGAAAAATATGCTGAATTATTAATTACAGAACGAGGTTGTCAAATTTGTAAACGAACTAAAGAATGTAAAATATATTGGGAATTTACAATTAGGTGTTGTAAAGAATGTCATTCAAATAAAACCGTAGGGTAAATATGTAGTAGTAATTAATTATTTACATTTGTAATTTATCATTTCAAACTAACTGATTTTTTTTTTAAAAAATAATAAATTAGTTTGATTGGATTGGTCGATTATCCATCAGAATTCGTTGATATTATGCCACATACCACTGAGCTACTATGTGATAAATATTATTGGAAAGAACAAGTAGATTCTGCATATGCTCAATATAATGGTTTATCAAAAGAAGAAAAGAAAATTTGGTTGGATAATAGAAAACAAACATTTGATTCTATAATGAATTATGCTAGCCAACGTGAATTACGTGAAATAAAATTATTAGACTATTATTGTTGTTTTCAACCTCTTGATTTATATTCACCTTATTTTTTCTCTGATATATTTCCTTCAGTATATGATTTTTACCCCCAAACTCCACAACCTTCACAACCTTCACTTTTATCTCCGTACAGAAATTTTTTTGAGGAAGAGATTGAAAATGAATCACGTTTTAATGCAAGCATAAGACAAAATCAAGATTTCCTTGAAAATTCTAATGAGTAATAGAGAGATAATTATTAAGACTAATAAGAAAAAGGTGAAGGGGAATTAAATAATAAATTTAATAAATTTAACATAAAAATAATGTAAGAATTTTAACAATAAGTTTCTTGTAAATATGGTTAAGTTAAATAAATATATGATTACTTTTATATGTATTTTAAATAATAAAATAAAAAATATATTTTGGAAATAAATTAAATTGATAAAATATTTTAAAAGTTTAACGAAAAAAATATATATATATATATTTTCAATATTAAGACTGTATATTCGATGTAATATAACGAATAATAAATTTGGTTGTGTTGTCATAATATAATAAATAATAATTTTATTTTATGAACTGCCACCAATACTCCCAATACTAATGATATTTTTACGTGAAATAAAAAAAAAAGACTTCAGTTTAATCAAAATGAAAGAAAATATGTGTAATAGTTATTTCACGGATATCAATTATTTTCACTGCGCAGCCGTGAAGTTCATGATATTCCAGTGACTCCGTGAAATAACTGATTTATCCCACGGTATCCTCCTTTTAATATACTTATTTTGACTAAATAATTGTTATAGGCTTTTTACCCATCTTTTAATAAACACCACCTGTGAGAATATCAAGAAAAAAAACCACAAATTTTAACTAGGAACCGTGGGATAAACACAAATATTACTCGCCAAATATTAGCCTTCTTTCTGAACTTCTTATTGAATCTTCTCCCTTCTATCAATAGTTGATTATCCCAGGTATGTTATGAATTCCGCTGATATTTATATGCCACTAAATTTGGATGGAATCTTGCTTTATTGAAAGGAATTGAAGAACTGAAAATATGTTGAAATAATAACGGAACAAGTGTCAAGTGTAAACGATTTAAATAATGTAAAATTTATTGGAAATTGAATCTTTGATGCTGTGAAGAACGGGTTTAAATATAAATAAACCATAACATAAATTTTCTACCTAAATAGAATAACACATTTGTAATTTATTGGTTTTTCTTAAAAAAAATAAAAATAAAAATTAAATTAGTCTATTATGCCATGATATCTTGCATTTTAATTAGATGATAAAAAAATTATATCTATAAATGATATATTAAACAATGCAAATTACAAGAGGATTTATCTTCGATTTTACCATCATTATACATACTCTGTCATACTGTAAATTTATGATTTACGACTTAATTTCTGTCCTCTAACTATTCCGTCCACAAAAAGCTCAGATTTTTTGCTAAGGAAGATAAAATATACCAGACACAACTTGGTTAATTATATCTTTAACATACTAAGATCAAGACAATTTCTTAATCTTGAAAATTTTGATAGTCAAAAAAAATGACAACTTATATCAAACCGAAAATAAAAGAGGCAGATTGAATCAAAATAATAAATTTAATACCTTATCATTAAAATTTCCTTTTTTTTTTTAAAAAAAAAAAGATATATTTTTTTTTACGTCAGAAAATTTGATATTCATTAAATGGAACTGAATACGTAATGTAGACGTAATCATGCATTGAAGATCCCATTCAAAGAGATAAATTTGTTTCAAAAATTCATGTAGTACACTCACCAATTATGAATTTTTCTCCTGAAATCTTCATTGAAATTTGTTCTTTTTTACCACCAGGTGATTTATTCACACTTTCTCAAGTGTGTCGTAAATTTCGTGGTTATTTATGTGCCCCAAACTCTTTTGTTACTCAACAAATATGGAAGGAATCTCGTTTAAATTTTATGCCAAAAGAGGATATGCCTCCACCGGAAGGCATGAGTGAAGAAAAATATGCAGAATTATTAATGACAGAACGAGGTTGTCAAATATGTAAACGAACTAAAGAATGTAAAATATATTGGGAATTTGCAATTAGGTGTTGTAAAGAATGTCATTCAAATAAAACTGTAAGGTAAATATTGTATTTAAATAGCAGTTAATTAATTACGTTTGTAATTTATCATTCTCGAACTAGCTAATTTTTTTTTTAAAAAAAACATAATAAATTAGTCGGATTAGATTGATTGATATTGAATGTCCATCAGAATTTGTTGACATTATGCCATATACTCATACTGGATTTACCATATGTAATAAATATTATTGGAAAGAACAACTAGATTCTGCATATTCTCAATATTATGGCTTATCGAAAAAGAAAAAGGAAATTTGGCTGAATAACAAAAAACAAATATTTGATTCTATAATGAATTATGTTAACAAACGTGAATTACGTGAAATTGAAGAAAGAGAAAAATTAGATGTTTATTTTTGTTTTTATCATTATCCTCACTTATTTCATACATGCTGTGATTTGCATTATTCACTACTTAATTTACACATCCAAACTCCTACACGACCTTCTCGACCTTCACGATCTCCACTTCCACCTCTGTCCAGGTTTTTTGTTAAAAAAATTAAAGATACACCATCAGCTATACCTAAGTTCCTTCAATGTCATATTCAGAGACTTGAAAATGTATCACATCAGTCTTCTTCTAATGCAAGCATAAGACTAAATTCAGTAAATAATTTCCTTGAAAATTCTAATGAGCAAAAAAGTGATAATTTTATTAAAACTAAAAAGAAAAAAGATAAAAGGGAATTAAATAATAAATTTAATAGATTTAGCATGAAAATGAAAGGAAAGAATTCTAAAAATAAATTTGCTCATAAATATGGTTAAGTTAAATGAATATGCGATTACCTTTATTTATATGTATGTACTTTAAATAACAATAATTTAAATATATTTTGGAAAGAAATTAAATTTGAAATTTTAAGTTAAATATTTAAAAGTTTTACGAAAAATTTATTCAATTTTTCAACATTAAGGCTGTTCAATATGTTATATTCGATGTAATCAATGAATAATAAATTCGATTATATTCTCTTATTAATGGACATCTTACTATAGTATAATAATAAATAGCATAAACTGTTACCAACGGAATCTTGATGGTCCATAATCCCGACACCAAAATCCTGAAAGTTCTAAAATCCTAGCAAATAAAAATCTCGACAGTCACAGAATCCCAGCGATTAAAAATCTTGCCGGTGAGATCCTAAAATTTTGAAGTAATTAACCATTTTAAATTGAAATGATAAATTTTTTGTTTAATCTAATTAATATAATTATTAATATCATTAATGCAAAATAAATTAACTTGAACAACTACTTGTTCCTATTCTTTTTGTGAAAACAGTCGATACTTTACAAAAAAAAAAAAAATTTAGATATTTTGTGATAGTAGTAATGCAAAATTGCCGAATACTATATACGGAGATGGATGTTGTTATCATTGTGCCATGCAGTGGTACATGACAACAATCATTCAATATTGATCGTAATATTGAATAACGAAGTGCCTAATAACGGCTGGTAGTCTTAAGTGACGGATCATGATAAATTAGTCAATTTTGCTCGTATTCGCCATGTTACATCATTTATTGCCGGATATCATTCATTTCCGGCAATAAATGACGTAACATAGCGGAGAAAAATTATTAGCATCATCTTATGGGACACAGGATATAAAACTTTAAGAATCACATCATTTTTTAAATTGTAATACGCTTAATTTAAAATTTTTTTTTTTCGGGATTTTAGTATCAGGATTTGGTTTATAACTATTGGGATTCTGATCTGTCAGAATTTTGGGACTGTCAGGATTTTAGTGTCGAGATTATTGACTGTCAAAATTATGGATGTCAGGATGTTGTGGTAAACCCGTGAGTCACCAACACATGATATTTTCACGCGAAATAGAAAAAAAGACTTACAGTTGACTAAAATGAAAAAAACACAGATACTCGCCAAATACTAGCCTTCATCCTGAATCTATTGAATCTGTTATCTTTATCACTAGTTGATTTATTAACACTATCCCGCCAGTATGTTATGAATTTCGCTGATGATTATATGCTGGAAATTCTTTGGTAACCCAATAAATTTGGAATAAATCTTGCTCTAAAGAAAGGAATGAGGGAAGGAAAATATGTTGAATTATCAATAACGGAACAAAGTTGTTAAATGTAAACGATCGAAAAATGTAATATTTATTGAAATTTTGTATCTTGATATTGTGAAGAAGGTTTTATCAAATACAAATAAAACCGTAACATAAATTTTGTATCTAAATAGAATAACACATTTGTAAGTTATTCAGTTACTTTTTGGAGATTAGTAATAAAGTAAAAAAAAAAGATAAATCAAAATTCATTTTATCGTACATTTTATTTCACTCAACAAATATCTGAAGACATTATTGTGAATTCAAATACTCAACAGATATGACAAAAAAAAGTTGTAGTCACGTGATTTTTGTCCTGCATTATGGCATTACACACTGATAAATAAATGAGTTAAAGGCTTCACCTAAAATTTGTGACGCAATCTGCAAATTTGATGTTGATTACGATTTTCTTGAGAAAATAATCAATATATATATATGAAAATTAAATAAGTTTTTTTCGATTACATATACAGAAGGGATCGAAACGGCGCAGCATATTTTTGTTTACAGAGGAAGTTGGAGACATATTTGGACTAAATTTTTCCAATTCCAATACAAAATCCACATCATTGGTGTAAACACTATCATTAAAAATAGATAAGTATCATCACTCTGCAAGAGCTAAAAAACCAAATAAAATAATCAACATTAAATCAGAATAATGATGATTTTACTACATACGAATTTGTATTATATGAAAATTTCATAAATAGTTTAACAAAAAAGTGGAAAGATATAAAGGAAAGATTGATGGAAAAAATAAGAATGATTTAAGAATATAGAAATGACTTGGTAGTGAATAGTGAATGATTGTAAATAACTTTAATGGAAAGATAAGTAAATAGGGGATCACTAAAAATAATTAATGAGAATTTATTAATGACTTGAGTTAATAAATCTCTATTAATGTAAAAGTTTAAGAATAAGTGACAGAAGCATTTAAATTTAGACAATAATGGCATTGATAAGTATAATTTACTAATCGTAACTTGGGCTATGATTGCATAGGCACTTTGCTATTGTAATAAATATCAATGACACGCAATAAAGAGTGTATTAATTTTCTTCAAAATTTGCTACCCATTAGACGTGATAAATGTATGATTGGTATTCTATTTGTATCGACTATTGACGGTTGTAACCCACCGATCATGACCGCGATCGATACCGACCGTTTTGGCTGACCATGACAAGTAACTTTAGTCATATCTAATCAATTAGGAATGTGAGATATATCATTATCTCAAATGTACTGTAAATCTGCGGTTTCTTGTGTGAAAACGGGTCAATATCATCATATTGTCCATCGTAAATATCAGCTAATATTTTCATCGACGTTCCAATATGTCCGATATGCCCATTTTGTCGTACGTTTTTCGAAATGAGTGAGCTAATATTTATGAAAACACGATATTATTATTTTTCTTAACCAGTGATCCCTATAAAAATTTTATCCATTATTTCTATATAAACTCCATAAAAGTGAGCCTTTCTCGGATCAAAATGTATGTAATTCGATAAATTCCATGATGTAAGATTATTAATTCCTGAAATATGAATTTTTTACGGAAAAAAAGATGGAATATAAAAAACGGATCGACTTTTTTTACAGAGAATCTATAGAAAATTATAAGTGTTGAGATTTGATAATTATTAATCCAGTAAAGTATGAATTTCCCTAATATTATAGTGATGACTAAAGTAATTTATTCGTGACTAGCAGTCACCGTTGCTTCGCACCGGGACCAATGAGTTTGTTTAAATAGAAAATTTAGTATTATAATGTAATTCTAAGTAAATTAAAGAATAGTTACACTAGTTTTTTGTTTATAATTGGAAATTTAATATATAGTTAATAATTAGTTAACAAAAAAATAATAGAATAAGATATATTAAATCATATTTATAATATTAGAATGAATATAAATTATAATTACAATAATGTAGATATTTATATTAATGATTTGACGTTTGAGTGTAGAATGAAATTCGGATTAATTAAGGAATTGTGAAAAATAATCATTATCAATAATATCAATAAAAATTGATTAATTTTTTAGAAGTATTTTCGAAAAAACTTTGTTATTATGAAAATACTACAAATATTTTTATTAATTAATTATTAATTTCATAATTATATCTTATTATTTTATATTACGTCAATCTTAAACTTATAACAAACTTAGGAAAAATATTTGAATAATTAAATGTATTAGAATCTGTTCATTTCACTTAATATTATTCTTTTGATAATCATTTTACTCGATAAGTTATTAATTTAATTAAACCATTTGAAATAAAATCTTTATTCAAAAATCTGGTGATTATTTAGAGGATTTCGGATATGGATTTGGTTATAATAATCTATTGATTTTTTCAATTAATTATAAAATATTGTAAAAATATCAATTTTTTTTGATTTTTATGAATTTGAAAATCAAACTATTTATCCGGCGTTCAATTTAATTGAAAAAAATCTTAATCATCTTTCTATCTTCTATCAACGTCGGTCAATTTTCCTACATGTTATATTGATTTTTTAAAAAAATAATAATTTTGTAAATATATTTAATATAATATTTTATTTCTTTAAAAAAAAATCAAAAAAAAATTTGGGGAAAGAAAAAGGATAAAGAAAGAAATCGGTTTAAAAAAAAGGGAAATTTCTGAAAAAAAAAGGAATCTGAAAAAAAAAGTACCGCCTAAAAAAAAAGATCGAAAAAAAATAATATAAAAAAATCGGGATTATTTAAAAATAAAATTTTCAGTTTGGGAAAAAAAAATTAAACTTAAATGGGAAAAAAAATGAAATTTTTCGGTTTGAAAAATGGATTAGTTGAATAGTTTTTTGACCATAAATAGATCAGAGGAGGCATGTCACGGGTACTAATTATATTTCAAGTTACACAATTCAAAATTATTTACTGTTATGCCCAAACGTCAGACAATTTTTTTTAGTTATATAGATTTATTAAAAAATTTATTATCTGTTATAGATTAATTAATTAATATTGTTATGTATCTTTATAATAATTAAAAACAATCTCACTAAAAAAATTTCGTTGATATCAAAAAAAAAAATTTTCCACGCAAATTTATTAGTTGGGAAATAATATCTCAATAAAAAAAAATTTTCACGCGAATCTATTAGTCAGAAACAATATCATTGACTAAAAAAAATCTCACTAAACATCGAAAAAGCCGTAGGACATAGTTCTAATCTGATTATAGTCTTGACCCAAACCAAAAAAGAATAAACAATATTTTTTGGTTAAAAAAAAAACCAAAAATATTGATAAATTCTGATTAAAAAAAAATCCCCTAAAAAAAAATCCAAAAAAAAGAATAAGAAAATTTTGGTTAAGTTAACCGAAAGAAAGAATAATAATAAAAAGAGGGATAAAAAAATTAATAAAAAAAAAAAGGCTAAAAAGGTAGTTTCAGTCTTTACAGTAAAAACCGAAAAAATAAAAAAAAAAAA